AGTCAATTTACATCATCGAATTCTAGCTACCTCCGTACATACTTAAATTTTACGCATACTTTCAGACAATTCTCATAACTGTAACAGTATGTCTACCAATATGTCCAGCGCAGAGCGCTAAATATAACAATTTAACAATTACCGACTTGCATAAAGAATAGCATTAGATAGTGAGAAACTACGAAAATGTTAGTTGCCACGTCTTCCAAGGATACGAATAATTTTTCTCTCCTAATAGTGAGGAAATTTTGCATTCGTTAGCGGTCGTTTTCTGCCAGAGTTATGCGAGGATCATTAAACAAATTGCAAAAAGACCAACGATCCAGGATACGCGAGTTTACGAACGGCAGTGCGTGCGTGCCGCACACCGTGATTTGTAAATACAAGCACATCCTGCGCTCATGCTATCGTTCTACGTGCGTTCACATTTCGCGCTTACTACCCGTGTTCGAACGAACCTAACCAGGAGGCTGTAAATATATCAGCTGTTATCGTTAAACGTCCCCGAGAAGTAAGTTTCGTGTGTATTTGTTACAAGCCAAATCACGTTCATAACGGCTGATGAAAATTTACATTGTACAGTGGCGTGAATTGATGAAAGGAACGAATCTACATAATTAGTTACGATTTCTGATACATTGCATTAGATATGCAAATTAGATCAGTGATCTGTTCTTAGCTAATTGAACTGTCATTAAATTTCTTGTTTGCGTCAGAACCCGACTGTGATCTTGTATTTTATTCGTATCACGAATCGCAGTTGCGTTAACCGTTTTAAAATTTTCCTTCCACTTGCTTTCAAGGTTTTCACATATGGTAATAATCCCCTTGGCGTTCTTATATATAAATAGTATGATGATAAGAGAAATATAATTTCATGTTACACATAGATATTCCTAATGCCAAATGCCAACGAAAGTATAAGCTGCTCATTACGTGTGCTCATGAATTTAACTTGTAGCGAGCAATTGGCATTTTCAACACGCCTCGAGAATTGGCAAGCTCGATCTTCGCTTCGTGATTCAAGGAAAGAAGGTCTGGGGAGCATCAATACCTAACCACAAAAAAGGTATCGACATAACGAAGGAGTTGACCACGAGATTGTGGTACATGGACGGATGACCCATGATCAGACAATGGATGCATTGCATTTACGTATTTACCAGTACGATGTTCGAAAAGTGAATAATACAACAATAGAACCAATTTTAATGGACGAATACAGATAAAAGGTTACGAATTATTTTGGGGAAAACCGTTATAAATAAGAAATTGATAAAAAATGAATAAAATATTATCACTACAGACTGATTTATAATGATGAAGACTGACATAATGATTTATGACCATATTGACAACACGAAAATTATTTCTTATATCGATGAAAAATGGAAGAGAAAAGAAAAATATTTGTAACTTTCCTCTTTTCGAAACGAAAGTTTTTGTTTCAAAAAACTTCATTGTGAAAACGTAAGAAATGTTTAGAATCGGAACGATTAATAAATATTAGAAATCACATGACTGACATTTTTGTGTTTAAATAGTGGAAATATGGAAATACCGATGAAATGATAGTCGCATCCCATTAAATCACATCGTTGTTGATATTTTATTTGTGACAATCTGCTCTAGCTCCAACGTGATACATAAGCGCGAATGAATGACATTCCATTGAATCGAGCCGCACACGCCTAAATACAGGGTTAAGTTCTAATCTAGCACGCAACCGGAAACACGAGTGCTTTGCCAAACAATGCTTTCGAAAAAAAAGAGCATAACAATGGAAAACAATAACGACAGACGGTGCGTGCAATATACATTCACGCAAGGGAAGCTTTGGTCAGTATTTCCCCGCTTTTGTTCTCATTGTGTCAATTTCCTAGATACATCTTTCGAAGAATTTAATTTTTGCATGAATATTTCAGCTCGTCTTCAAATCCTTTCATCTCGTATAAAAATATGAAATTCGAATCTCAATTGGAGGAGAATTTTTTGTATCGTTCTAAGAATAGCTAGCTGATGAAATTTATATTTAAATTTAATTAAAAGAATACTAAATTTAATTATAATTTAAAAGAGTACTAAATTTAGTCATTCGGTATAATATACCTAAAAGATTGTAAAAAAAAGATTATAATTTGATAAGATAATTTCTTAGAAATATATACCTAACAAATTTTAAAATAGATAAGTTAAAAGATAAATTGACATATTTTCAATCACAAGATAGTCATCTATATATCAAGATCGTTACACGACTTAGCGCTTTCGATCAGAAAATATTTTTAATTAAAATGATCTCAATCGCTCGAATTATAAATGGAATTTGCCCACTCAATTTACTAATTTTTTTTATGCTGTTATTATAACAAGATAAAGAAACACGTGTTCTCTTTCAACCATCAGTAATCGTGGGTATACATACAAATATATATTTTCTGTAATTTACTCGCCACCGTTGAGGAAACGTATTTCTTTTATGCGATCCAACAACAAAGGCCGTTCCATACAAAGGTATGCACGCGACGTGAAAGCACCGTGAAAACGGATTGAACGTTTCGCGGTGTTACATATGCGTTAAGCTTTATACACCGCGCGTATATATATATACTCAAAGGAAAATTAATCCGCGTTCTTACTCCGGTGGCAAGCAAGATTGCAACTTTCTTCCTTTTTCTCTTTTTCTTCCCCATGCTCGTGAAATTCGACGCGACTTTGAATATTAAACAGAGGCTCGATGAAGTCGAGAATTCGCAAACAGCGCGCGCGCTCGTTTAATCAGAATATTATATGCAAATTTTATTGATTGTAAACCTTACGCAACTTATTATATACCTCTCCTTGAAACAAAACAAAAAGCAATCAAGATGATATGTTTACGCGAGATTGCCTGTTCTTCGTTTTCGTTCATTTGAAATTTAAATGAGACTGGTTTTGTTAGTAACTCCTCGAAATTTTGGTGTAAAAAAACGTGAACAAATAATATAAAAAAGGGGAGGAAAAGGAAAAAGATGTAAACGAGAAATGATCTAATCTGCATAAACCTAAGCGTAAGCGTACAGCTTGATGCTAACGTTGTACCGTTACAGAAATTATTATTCCATATGCCTATAAATATTATCGAGGTGATGTCCCAAACTGGTTTTAGGTATTTGGTGCGGGACACAAAACATGGCCGTGGACCAGCACAGCTGCACGATCAACCGGTTTCTCTGATTACAGTCGACTGAATGTACAGTCATCGAATATAGGCGTAAATACGTAATAAGTATTGTATTCCATATAAGTGTTAATTGCATTAAAATGATATATCGAGTATACCACCATTTGCTATTTATTATTAAAGACATAGGTGTATACATTTTTTACTATTGTAATTTTCTTAATTTTCTTTCCCTATTATTTCACTATTTTACATTATTGTATTTCATTCATAGCAGAATAAAATATATAGGTTTTTAGATTTGTCTAAAAATTAATTTATGGATTGCGCTAATAAAAAACTGAAATTTTGATAAATGAAATTAATAAATTGAGTTACATTAAATTTAAAATATGTTTTGGAACTTTAACATGCCACAGGAGCGCCACTGACTAATTGTATGGTTTTTAAATAGAATGAGATTCGAATGTGAATGCGTCATTGATGATACCATAAATGCACGTAAGTCAAGAACAAGAGTACAGTTGCGTAGCGTATCTCATTGTAGCGAAACGTGATCAGCTGTTAATCACAAGTATTCTAACATTAGAAGCGAAATCCATCACTTAACGATATTAACACTATCAACCTAACAATTTGCATAACGCAAATTAATTCTTTTGCACACGAAATAATATCTTAAAAAGAATCTTACATCATGGTAAGCACAGAAAAACTTTTTTAAATAGAGGTTATGTCATTTTGAACATTTCTGGTTCCTAATAAGGGATGCCATATATTGCAGAACAAAAATTGAAATAAATAATTAAATAGACTTGTAATGGTCGAAATGCAATAAAGCATAAGATAAAATATAAAAGATTTTCATATTATTTTTCAAGTTAGTTCTTAATATATAAACTAGTTAACCTAAATTTATTAACACAGCAAGATCCAAATGAAGATACAGAGTGGAATGACATTCTCAGAAGAAAAGGAATTATACCAGAGAAAGAGAAAGAAGTTACGGAAGATCAAATCGTTGACATTGTGGAAAATACTATAAATGAGAAAACTGGGCGTGGTAATTGAATGTTTATTTTATTTGTCTCATGTTGATACAATTCCAAACAAAAATTATTAATCTAGATATTTCTTATTTCTTATAGCTGCCAATGATTTAGAAAATAAGACGCTAGATGAATTGGATGAACTAGAGGACGAAGAAGATGAAAAAGTTCTATTGGAATATCGAAGAAAGAGAATAGCAGAAATGAAAGAGTTAGCTAGCAAATCTAAATATGGTGAAGTTAATGAAATATCAGCAAAAGATTATGTTCAAGAAATAAATAAAGCAGGAGATGATGTTTGGGTTATACTTCATTTATATAAAGCTGGGTATATATAATACACCTCTATTCTTAGATATTACATATCAAAATTTTTAATAGAGATATTAAGAGAATCTTATCTCTTTACAACTTTTGTTCTAGCATTCCCCTCTGCTCATTAATAAATCAGTATTTAACTAACTTAGCAAAAAAATTTCCTGCAACAAAATTTTTGAAAAGTATTTCTACTACTTGCATTCCCAACTGGCCTGATAGCAATCTTCCTACAATTTTTATCTACCACAATGGAAATATGATAAAACAAATTATTGGCCCAATAGAATTAAGAGGCATGAAATTAACTGAAGCAGGTATATATAATTGAAAATTTAATGAAAAATCTATTCTGGTAATTTGTCACAATTCTATTGGTATTCATATAAACTTATTATATGTGTTATTATAGAACTGGAATGGATGTTAGGACAGGCAGAAGCTGTACCAACGAAAATTACCAAAGATCCCAAGCCAAAAGTCAGGGATGTCTTATTTTCTGTATTAAGGCATGAAAGTAATGACAAATATGACGATGTTGCTGATAGTAACGATTGGTAACCCTATTTATATTAGGTATTCACAGAAGCTGATCTACTGTTTGAATACTATTACTAAGCATGAAATATTTTATTTATTTCAATATCACACATATTTTATCACACACAACTCATCTTTAGTTACTTTTGAAATTTTATTATTATAAATAATCTTATTGTCACAATAAAATATTTTATTATCACATTATCAACTTAAAAATTATAATTTCTACCATTTTTCTACACCTTTATCACATTACACTTTTTTAAAATATTATAATATTGTAGAATATAACACACAATCTACCTCCAAACGAAAAATTGCAAATTTAACCTTGTTTGCATTTTGAAGATTTGAAGAAGATTCTCAACAAAGCAACATAATTCTACACTATCCAAATTTCTCTTTTAAATAATATATATATTTAATTTAACTTACAAGAACGTATGGTGTGTGCCATTGTCGATACAATCTGCACTTCATTTCATGATCATTGTTGTTTCGAATTTCGAAGCCTTTGTATTTTTAATTTCTTGATGAATTTCGATAAATCTATATCAAAGATATAAAAAAAATAATAAATCAAAAGATACGAAGACTTCAAATTAATGGAAGCTTACTGAAAAAAATACTAACCACACGTACATATTTCTAATCCTCGGAAGTTTTAAGTTTTAATTTCTTAGGGATGTTTACATTCTATCGTTCAAGGACTTCTCAGGTTTCGTTCTTCTTATCTAAGCACAACTAAAGTTTCTTTATAGGATTTCATGGAGCGTAGTTTAGTTTCTGTCGCCAAACGGTACGGTTTGAAACGTTTCATATCTGTCACATTAGTTACATATATATTTTTTGTCGTAATAATCGGTATATAAGTGTTGGAAAGGTGATGGTGTTTGTATTTGTGATTACAGTGTTAAACATCGTTTGAACTATGGTCAGAAAAGCTAGGTAAGTTTTTTATGATATTCGGATTATTAAAACAAAAAGCAAGTATTTATCCTCTGACAGAAATATTTGCCATCGTTTTAATATTACAATTATCTTTTTATGCTTTCTTACTTATTTAATTAAAAAATAATTTTATCTTATAATTTGTTCCTTTTCTATAATGCTTATTTTAAAAAACGTAATGAATTTATATCTTTTTTTGGTATTTATTTTCTATTACAAAACATAAAAACTATTTTGTTATAGTATTTCTGGTATATCTTTTTAATTGTTACTTTTTATTACATTTTTTAGCTATAATGAATAGTACAATATAGTCATAATATGTAAATGAAAGAGATGAAAAGATTCGTTGGAATATCTAAACAATATTATTAAGAATGTACGAAGACCTAAGTAATTTTATCACATTTGACTATAATACCATTTGGAACATGCATAGTGAAAGTTCAGAAAATATGTACCAAAACACAGTTTTATTTGATATAATGCAGGATAATGAACCTTCTAAAGAAATTAATACGAATGAAGAAAAAGATCATTTTGAGGAATTAAATAATTTTGAATCTGATAACATATTACATAATAAAATATCACATAATACTAGTACGAAACAAGACATATTAATATTGAATAAGACACATCGCACAGTTCCTAATATTTTAAAGAGTAGTTCAAGATCACATAGAATATCTGAAGTAGATGGAACAAAACCAAATTGCTTCTTTGAAGATATAGCAAAAACAGAGCAACAAGTTTTACTTGTTCCTGATGCAGCATCAAAGCATATTCAGTCTGAAAATACATTTGTTAAAGAAGCTAAATATAAAAAAGTATCAAGGAGAAGAAAACAAAAGTTTAGCTATGTGAACGCCTGGAACATTTGCTCCTTTGTTGACAAGGAGAAGGAAATATTGGATAAAAACGTTTGTATGTCAACAGAGATAGACAGTTCTGCACAAAAAAATAAGTTGAAGCATTACGCTAATAAGCAGGATAAAAGACAAGGAATATCTATTCTTAAAAGTGAACAAGAAAGACTTGTATCTTCAATGTCTGAGAATGTATTAACAGATTGTACCTCCAAAGGTCAGGCCCCTTCATCTTTGGAAGAAATTGAATCAGATAATTTTCAAGATTCAATTGATTTCTCAAGCAATGAAATATTTAATACATTTTATTACGAATCTTATGACAGCAATAAGTTAGATTGTTTTATAGGGTATACAGAGAATTCTGATGATGCATATAATTCTTTTAGTTCAAAACATAGTGATTATCAGGTAAAAGAACTTGATATGAATTATAATGAAATAGATACATATGAGACAATGGCAGATTGGTCCTTAACAGACAATGAACAAGATGAAATAGATATTTCAATAAGAAAACCTGTAATGTCTCCAGATTATTGGATCGAAGATCTCTTCAGTGATAGAAAATCAAAATGTTCATGCTGTGATTATTCTTGCCATGAGGATTATGCTCCAAATTTGATTACAACTAGTGAAATTAATACTTATACAAAAGACAGACTATCAACAGAAATTTTTAATGATGATTCACAAGCTAATTTGAACAATACAGATTTATATACCTCAAATAGTACATACGTAACTGATAATGTTTTAAGTGAGGACAGCAGTAGAACATGCTCACCGCTTATTGACATTGAGAGCTCTTTGCAAATTACTGATGATATTGACTCAACGTTAATAAAATTTTTTAATTATTCATGTCAAAAAGATATTGAAGAAGGAATATCTAAACAATTTACATGTACACAAGAACAACAAGAAACATTACAAATTCAAGACAGCAACGAATATAAACATATTACAAAAAAGAACGAGTAAGTTAATTTTTTCATGTTATTTCCAGTAAGTGTGAAAAATTAAAAAAATATTCTTTTTCAAATTGCATTTTCAAAGCATTCATTGAATAAGCTGTATGGTATGAAGGAGTTTCGAAGATTTCTAGGTTGCCTTTATTTTTTTAAATGATATGTTATGCTTTTATATTCTTAATAGTAGAGCGGACATTTGAATTCGTTTGCATCAACGCGATATTACAATCGTCATATTTTTTACGTCTGTTCACTTATCATTCCGGATTGATTGTGTACATGCCACAAGACCACAATCATTCTTTGTTCCTTATCTCGCGCTTGGAATACACACTATAAGAATAAAAGAATTTCTAATAAATTTTTAATAACATAAGTGTAATAAAATGCAAAAACATAGTGATTATCAGGTAAAAGAACTTGATATGAATTATAATGAAATAGATACATATGAGACAATGGCAGATTGGTCCTTAACAGACAATGAACAAGATGAAATAGATATTTCAATAAGAAAACCTGTAATGTCTCCAGATTATTGGATCGAAGATCTCTTCAGTGATAGAAAATCAAAATGTTCATGCTGTGATTATTCTTGCCATGAGGATTATGCTCCAAATTTGATTACAACTAGTGAAATTAATACTTATACAAAAGACAGACTATCAACAGAAATTTTTAATGATGATTCACAAGCTAATTTGAACAATACAGATTTATATACCTCAAATAGTACATACGTAACTGATAATGTTTTAAGTGAGGACAGCAGTAGAACATGCTCACCGCTTATTGACATTGAGAGCTCTTTGCAAATTACTGATGATATTGACTCAACGTTAATAAAATTTTTTAATTATTCATGTCAAAAAGATATTGAAGAAGGAATATCTAAACAATTTACATGTACACAAGAACAACAAGAAACATTACAAATTCAAGACAGCAACGAATATAAACATATTACAAAAAAGAACGAGTAAGTTAATTTTTTCATGTTATTTCCAGTAAGTGTGAAAAATTAAAAAAATATTCTTTTTCAAATTGCATTTTCAAAGCATTCATTGAATAAGCTGTATGGTATGAAGGAGTTTCGAAGATTTCTAGGTTGCCTTTATTTTTTTAAATGATATGTTATGCTTTTATATTCTTAATAGTAGAGCGGACATTTGAATTCGTTTGCATCAACGCGATATTACAATCGTCATATTTTTTACGTCTGTTCACTTATCATTCCGGATTGATTGTGTACATGCCACAAGACCACAATCATTCTTTGTTCCTTATCTCGCGCTTGGAATACACACTATAAGAATAAAAGAATTTCTAATAAATTTTTAATAACATAAGTGTAATAAAATGCAACAAATTGTATGTTACAAATGTGTATATATATATATATATATATATATTATATATATTATATATATATATATATATAAAACCAGTAAAACTGTTTGAATATCTGCTATATCATTAGTAATAAAGAAATATAACAATTATTTTAAAAAATAAAGATAATCTGGAAGTTTTCGAAAATCTTCAATCTATAGAGCAAAATTATCACTGTCTGATATTACAGAAAATTATTATATGTTACGGTCTCCTCTGTATGACACAGTTTTTGCAAATAAAGTTTTTTCGTATTTCTAAAAATAACGAGCATTCAGGTTAATCAAACTTGGTAGAACATCTCGTCGTATATCATATATCATACTATAGCGATAGTTTTGTAAAAGAGATTTTTACAATGCAAAGACGCATCTAAAATTTTTGTTGTTGTCTTAAATTTTGTATTTTATGAGATACACATGTAGGTTTCAGTGTTCATCATGTTTATTATCGTTTGCAAGCGCGCGTACAATGGCAATACATCAAGCTGCAGCGCATGGAGGTAAATGTACTATTTTATCCCCAATAAAGTATGGTGTTTGTCATCGAATTTCTTTTCAGGTATGTACATAATACTTTGCGAAAGTTGTGGTAGGCTTTTCAATCGAAAATATCATTTCAATAGGCATTTCATTCATTGCCACCGTATGAAAGAACCTTTCAATTGCGACATGTGCTTTAGAAAATATAGGTAAAAAAGGGAGACTAAGATGTATAAAGTTTCCGAATAAGAGCTTTCAAATCTCAGGATTTGTTAGATTTATTCATAGAAATTTGTTTTCAGACACAAGTCGTCTTTACTTCACCACTTAAAAGCAGTGCACCAGGTTCACTATACTCGTAGTCGTTCGTCAACATTCACTTGTGAAGTGTGCCAAAAAGTTTATAGCAAATTTGGTGCTTTTGAAAATCATGTGAAAACCCATAAAAACGCTTGGTAAGTTTAACCTACTGATATTTTCAAAAAAACAAATATATCTAGCAATTATATTTAAATATTTAACTATTTAAATATTTCAAAGTTATTAATCTAATTAAAGTAGATATTATTGAAATGTTATATTTATATTTATATTTATTTTTTATTTGCTGACGTTACCTTTTTGGAAATATTATTTTAATGCTGTTAGGATAGCGTTAGATATAACTATAAAATAATTCTTACTACGATCTAATATAAGATAGCAGAAAAAGTAACTCAGATTATTTATATACATGGAAATATAATATTTTGTATCTTGGTTATTTTTATATTTTTTATTTGTTTGTATATTTTTACTAGATTATATCCTGTTCTGTTATGTACTTATAATACCTTTATATGTATTCTTATTTATATTGACAAAAGAATAGCATTTTAAATTAACTACTTTTTTACATGTAATCGATACGAAGTGATACGTAAATTAAGATTATAGTATTATATAATCCAGATTTAACAGCCGTAATAAAATAAAAATTATCCTTTTTCATTTTTGAGGCTGTTATGAAATGTTGAAATGATTTATTTTTGTATCTGTATTTGATGAAATTGTAATACCTGAGATGTAAAAAATGTGATTGTAAAATTTGTAATAAAATACTTAACGTGAAAATGTTTTACTTGATAATGTATGTTTAAGTATAACAATAAATTGAATTTTATTTTCAGAGATACTTTTATTTCATCCAAATAAATGTAGCTTTGTAAACTCTATCAGAGTGAAAAATAATCTATGTGCAATACACGAAAAACGATAAAGAGAAACAAGTGATGACACATATATTATCAGATATTATAAAAAAGAAATTATTCTAAGTCAAATCTCTAATATTGTGTCACATAACATATACATGCATTAACATATATATTACATATATAGCATTTCAAACTCATTTTATTGAAGGGAAATGAATAAATTTTCGTTTTGTATTTATAAAAAATAAAATAAGAAATAAATGTCTAAATAATATAAATCGACTTAAAATATTTTTGTTCTTACCTTAATTCGGTAAGTAGAAACATTTCAATCAATTGTTGATCACAGTTTTCGCGATAATCATTTTGATATGTGAGAATTTTTACGTGAACCGACACGTTGATATGGATGTAATAGTCTATTACCCCATTATTAACTTTCCACCTAAGAGTGTTACCATGTATGCCATTAAAGAAAAGCAAAAAATTGACGTCGTAATAAAACCACGAATCATTTCGACGAAGAAAGGCATTTATTGAGTTACTATAAATCCAATGGTTTCAAGCTTCATTGATTTATCTTACATAATAAATAATGTAAGTAACAACATATATCTAATTAATTGACACAATTATTTAATAATTAAATTAGTTATGAGGTCATATTACAAATTAGGATGAAATAATTTTCACAAAAATATAAATTTCGATATAACAACGTAATATATTTATATAATAATAATAAAGTAATATATTTATTTCTAAGTTCAATAATAAAATTATAAATCTGCAAATTGTGAGAATTCAATACGTTATCATATGAATTATTAGATTACGTTGCATATGTTTTATTTAGTTTTTTCTCTTCAATGAAGAATAAGCAATACATATCTGCTTAATTTACATATAAATAATATCTTCTTACCAATAATAACAAAATAATATAAATAAATTGCATGGTATAACCGTTGCTACACATGATTAATGAAAGTATCTACTTCAAGATACTAAGAAATACCTTTTCATAACTACATGCTGGAGATTAGAAGAAAGAAATAAAATAAAAACTAAAAGCAGCTCCTTGTGGCTCACGATTCTAGTCACGGCGTCGTTCCTCGAAATATCGACGATTCCTCGCTATTTATATGTTGGCTTTCCCTCGTAAATCGTAAAAAGGTTCTGTCTCGTATACCTTAGAATATACCGACGAACGTACCGGCATGGCGCAATGGATAAAATACAATTCTGTCGGTTTTACCGCCGCGCAATTTATGCAGTTCAATTGAAAAAATTTTACCTACCCATAAATTTTCTGCTTTCTTTAGTCATTTCAGGTCTTAGAATAAGAATAAGTTCTTACATCATTTCTAATACCTATGACTCTTGTTTAATACACTGTTAATTTTATCTTGTTGATTAACACGTTGACATTTTCGTTGAGAAGAGCAAGCGGAAATGTTAAAGGTCTAATGATAAAGTTCATGAAATATTCTTTATTCTATGTTAAATTGTAAAGATTATGCAGGATATAAAATACTGTTTTTTAAGTATTAATCCATTGCACATTTTTAAATGACAGTTTGTTGATATACTATTGAAATGAAGAATTAATAACGTGTCATTTTTTTAATAACTTATTTTATTACTTCGTATTGTTCATATGTAAAAAAGATGGCATATTAGCGCTCATAAGACGAACAGAATTATTCATAGAAATTATTCAAATACAAGAAACTGTAATACCAAAAGTAGGAGACATTAAAATTGCTTTTTATCATTTCCACAGATTTCTTTCAACTCTATGGAAAAGTTAGAGTTATTTTATCTTTCCTTAGTAATATAATAAAATTCTACTTCTTCCTCTATTCTTTATTAACATCATATAAATAAGCGAGATTTTTATTAATTAAGTATTCTACGTTTAATACAGAATCGCATCTTTTGATTTAGAACTAGCCAATTTTTTATTTTTTGAACAATCAAGTTGCCAAAATATATGTTTCCAAATCAATTAAAATTAAATTTCATAGATCAAAAAATAAAATGAACGATACACTATTAACAGACCATTCGTAAAAGAAGGGAACAATCATCCATAATCAGGAGGAGTGACAGCGGTAAATCGTGGAGGGTGGTGCGCACCATAGTGAACCCGTTAACGAAAAGGGATAATACCAGTAGTGGCGCCGCTGTCGGTCAAAATTCGAACGAATGGTTGTGCCGGAACCGCGCAGATCGTCCTCAGTAGTTGCCCAGACGCTGTCACGGGCGTAGCTGGATGCTGGATTGTCTCTCTCTCTCGTGCGCGCGCGTGTCGCAGGGAGGTGCTTCCTTTTCTTCTTCCTCTTCCTCCTAACCTCGTCCTACTCGTCGCTTGTATCGGTCGACGAACAACGCCGTGGACGTCACGATTTTTCGATGCTGCGGATATCGTGCGACTCGGTCACCGGTTCACCATCTTAACGAGAAGAAGAAAAGGTGCCGGAGAAAAGGGAGGCCGACGAGGTTTCCTGCCGGTCGGTGAGAGAGAGAGATAGAGGGTGAGATAGGGGTTAGATAGAAAGGTAGAGTGAGGCAGTGAAAGGGGATTCGACAAGGAAAGGCAACCGAGAGAAACAACGAGAGACCGGTAAAATAGAGAAACAAAGATGGTGTGAGGGAAATAGACAAGTAACAAGGGGAATACGGGAGCAGCGAAAAAAGATTTCGGAAGGAAAGCTGTCCGGGAGGGGTAGAGATGTGTTGAAGTGTGTTCTTGTGTATATATATGGTGCAGTGCGGTGCTGTGCTCGAGAGAGAGAATGGCGTGGTCGGATTTCGCGTGTACCTCGCCGTGACGTGGAAAGGTAAGAATCCTGTCTAACCTTTATCTTTTTTCTTCTACGTTTATTTATAGACATCGTTTAATATTACGAATGTCACGATGTTTTGCGACCCCTATCGATTAGCCACAAAGATCGAGTTTCTTATTCGATTGACAGTGTACCCGCCGAAGCCGATAATTGAATTTGATTTGAACGATGATCTGTCTGTCGGTCAGTCGCCGGTACCGCGTGCGCCTCTATCGCCTGGCTTATCCTCTTTGCTACTACTATGGAGCTCGTTGGCATGCCAGACGGAATATCGTTCTTTCGTTCAATCATCTTTTTCTCGTGTGTGCCGCGTGACTTACAGATCGTCCACGTTATTTGTACAACGACAAGTTTCATTTTTGATTATGAACAGACTGCGGATGTTTATGCATTTGTAAAACGTACATGATACAAGCATAGTACTCGTAATATTTTGTGAATGAAATAAAATATATTAGCAAAAATGTGAATTTGCATGAAAATCCACAGTCTAGTTACGAAATATTTCGAAATGAAATTAGAGGCAAGAAGATAATTGACACTAACAATGAGTAATAAAATTTAGCGTGGTCGTATTGTATTATAAATGATTCGTATTCTGATTGGTATTTATCGTCTCTACCGGAAGTGTTATATTGTGTTTCGTATTTCGCGCGATATTAAACTTGTTAATTGAAAAATTGAAATATCTTTAGATCTTTAATGATTTTCTTTTTCTATTTGTTAATATAATATGTTAATGTATATATGTTAATATAATTTGTTAATATAATATGTTAATATAATGTTTAATATAATCATATACAATCATATACAAAGTCCATTCTATGTTTGTATTTAATGTATAATAATTTGTCGAAAATTGGAAATATTGTTCGATATTATGATCAGGGAAAACTGAGTTAAAAGTGTTCATATTTATATGCGCGTAGTATATTGAAAGATATCAGAAGTTTCATTTTGGATTATGCATTCCTCTTACACGTTGTTTCAAAATGGAAGATATATTGTTTAAGTTCGTTCTTGTCGCAGTAAAAACTTTTGTATTCAAATTTCACTTCGTCATATTACACTCGATGGGTTAGGTTGTGTTATTCTATGCGATGTGTTATTCTTAAGCAATAATGTTGTTACTTGTAATTATTAATTAGTTCAACATATTACAAGTTAGGAATTACGATTGCATTTACCAATCGAATATTTCAAATTGGAATACATCAAAGTTGAAATGAAAATAAAAACTGGGTAAAAAACAGCTTATTTTTAAGAATAAATAAAATATTATTATAGGTTATAAGATGAATTACTATAAGATATTTTGCTTTGTATCATTATTAAAAATTACAATAACAAAACTGTTGGTATATTTAGAAATTGAGATTACTGACATAACTTGAGGTATACATACATAATATAAAAATTGTTCTGTTTTGACCATGAGATAAACTTCCATTTTAGTTGAACAAGGTGGAGATAGAAAATAGTTTCAATGCTCCACGTGTGGTGTAACTCGATCCCATATGAGTCATATTGTGAAATGGTCTGCGATATTAAAGCTATCACACTGTATTACTTACAAAATGGTGAAAACACAGTAGCCTTGTTGGGAAGGAAAGTACTTGTCTGCTAGTTTTACGGTTTTAATTTCAGTGCATTATGATTAGTTTTAAAGTTTGGTATTTATGATATTCTTTAATTTTTCTTTTCCATAATTGAGTAAATAATAGTGTAAATAAGGTTTTGTTTATTCCAACCTTTCTTCTTTTATTCTTCTATTTTAAACGTTTCTTTGTATAATTTGAAATTTTCCACGAGAAACATTAACATTCATTATAAATTCAATAGTTATAGCAATTAAAATTTTTTTTAAAAAGAGAATCCATGACAATCACTACTGTAGTATCTACTTTACTTCGAAATTGAAACAACCAATTAGTACACTATATCAAAAGGATGAAACCAAAATTGAGGGCTGAAATCATAGTTTTTGAAATATCCTTAAAAATCTAGAATACAAAGTAATATATTTTATATGGATTAATGGCTTATGAGAATTGACTTCATTATCAACGCCTCTTCAACTTATTTTAATGCGTTCCATCCGTAGTCCCTCTGGTAACTCCATTACAGATGTCAACATCTCGGACGTATTCGCATATGTTCTAAACTACGTCCAGGGATGCACCCTAACTGCGTTATCACCATACGCTGACTGGCCGTTTGTGACGTTGATAAGCACGTGTCAAGCATAGGTTGTGGCACCGAATCGGGAAGCTTGTTAGACAGGTCTTCGTGAAGGATTCAAAGCATCTCATCGTTGATGCTTTTAGTGGACCTGAACGAAATTGCATGTTCCTTCAACCGAAGGAAAATCGAGTTCTGTTTAAAATTACATTGCACTTTGACATAGCCATTTACAAACACACGATAAACGAAATCTAAAGAGGTATGTTTGTCATGTACCAATTCACCTTTCGCTCTCATCGTATTGGTACGATGGGCACTTCATGTTCGAAATTGTTTCTTACATGGATATTTGGTTTTATCACTTGTTGTTTTATAATAATAGAAACGATATTTTCGGGAGATTTGTCTTAAGTAATTCTTTTGTACTGGAGGATTTATTTAAACATTATTTGAAATACATACGATAATTTACTTACTGTTTATATCGTTATGTTATGAACTCACATGCAGGAGAAGTTTGTTCTTAATATGTTCATAACATTAGCATGAACTTTTTTTAAACTTTGTTGTACGAGGGGATGTATCGAACCACGAAAAAAACAGCTTTGAACCTATTTTAATATTGCAAAGAAGGATATATTTTAAGAATCTTAAAATAAACCGATGGTGACCTTGGTTCTATATACATGTTAAGTTTGTTCAATAGAACTATTGAAATATTGTATTTGTTAACACGTTCGTTGTTTCGGGACTCAGTCGTGCGTTTCACTTGAAAGTCATGTGGAATTTGTTTCCAGAATTTAAATTCATTCCAGAGTTAAAATTCATTTCAAGAGAGAGGATAATATTCTAAGTGGTATCAGACTGCGTACGGTCAGACAGCAGTAGTTCGAGTCCAGTATGCAGTAGCCAACTTTAATCGTTACAAAGTACTGTAAATAACACGCAGGAACAGGTTAATAAAAGTTTCAAACGTATCCATACGTATATTACATAGGTACAATACGTCGAGTTAGATTGATGGGAAAAATTCACGAAATAAAAATCACGTTTTGTCACATTTGCGGCGCTTCGCTGCGAAAAATTGAAAGAATGCTATCGAAATCGAAATTGTTTCTCGTTCACTTTAAATTCACTATTTCCCTTTTAATTCAGGGGGTTGTCGTTGAATCGCGTGGGTTAAATAAAATCGAAATTTTATTTGTTCACGACAAAATTGTATTTGAACAAAAAATCTACCATGCCTCTTGTAGCTACCTTGTTTTCGCTTTTCCACTTTCGAATTCGATCAACCGTTTCCCTCTTTATCCTTTTAAAACTACTGTTCGTTGCTTCGTATATACTTGGTATATACTGGAAGAACTTCGTGCATCGAAGTTTCACAAGGTCCTGTTTTAAAAAATGGATATAGATTCGTTCAGATTAGCTGAGTTACTTGAATTCGAGTAGCTCGAATTTTGTCTTAATATAAGTCACGTTGGTTGGTCTGAAGTCGTTCCTGTTGAAGTGACCTATGTTCAAGTGGAGAGCTAATAAAAAATAGGCACAGTATAGTAAAATAGAAGCGCTCATAGTGAAAGTGATACAAGCGACGAAACTTATAATTCCAGACTTTTTGTTTGGTAATGTATATTTTCCTACATTTATCTTGTTCTAGGAAAAAGATATTCTCCTACTAATATATCTCATATATTTTAGAGTGTCTGTAGACAAATTTAGTGATTTGTATAATATGAAGGAACATAAAATTTCGAGAAAGGTCGACTTTGTTTAATAAACCGATATATTTCAAGATGTACCTAACCCAAATATTATCATTGTAAATAATATTACGTTATCAAGAAACTGTTGTTTCTTTCAAGTCAAGAAATATTCGAAAATATTTCAACTTCACCTAAAACTTGGACAAATACTTCAAGTTTACATTGTAATAGAGTGTTTCGAATCATTCAAATTTAAGCTGCACGAAGTCAAGTAGTTTGACTAATGAGAACAAATGTAGAAACGTAGAAGGATGTTCCGGAGTAAATAACAGCTTCACGGTGTGCAGTAATAGAAGGGTATCAAATTGCTTGAATTTAGGTAACTTGACAAATGTAAGGCATTCCAATAAATTACGTAGGAGGCGGCGGTATGTTAGGCAAGACGATGAAAAATCTCGAAGATCGCTTTGAAATTAGCTCGTAGATCTTTCCTCCATCATGTGCCACTCTGGATTTCCTTGAATGGTAACCTCTCTTGATATCTCCGTCTTTATCAAAACTTTCTTTCTAAATGAGTACGCCCATATTTAGAGGCCACGTGACTACAGAGCTAAATTGCGAATTTTTAATATGAAGGAAAAAGTAAGTAAAAGTTAGGAAAAAGTTTGTATCGATTTTGATAAAAATGTTACACGAAAAAGTTTTGCTCGCGAAGTAGAAAAAATTATGAATATATAAGATGCTATCGAAAAGTGGCTTTCTTTCAATAACCAACAAAGAAATCCGCTTAGTGTAAGTCTTAGTACCTTTTAAAATAAGGGGTTGCGTCTTACTGATGTATACATCTACATACTTGTACAAGATAAATCTAATTTTTGCGAGCTGCTTCTGTGTCCGTAATTTTTATTAGAGATATTATATCATTATCATGTGTATTTAAATTTTAAAAAAGTTTACTACTTAAATTAATCCAAAGTTTGATTATTCTTCTATATCGATGGACAGCTCGATTAAAAAAGAGACAATGTTGTAAAATGTTTGATCAACGTTTTCACGCGTAATCCTTTGTAATTTTGTTGTAACGTTTAGTCGTGGAGGGGAAAT